AATTGTACATGTACTCGTATAAATATTATTATACATAGTATATATGTATGTATAATTAAGTTTATTAGGATTTAATTAGAAGAAGATACAACCACTCGCTCTAAAGCAATAAATCTGTTCCGACCGAGCGATCTCCAAAGACTAACAGAAATTATAAAATTTGTACTATTTATTACATTGAAATATAATTCTTTTTAGTTCTACATTTTTGTGTACTTACTATCTGAAACTCAGTAAACGTACGAGGGTGGTCCCAGAAGTACCCGACCTAACAAAGAAAACACAAAAAATTTGGGAAAAAATATCTTTATTTCTCAACATAGTCTCCTTTTAGCTCGATACACTTTTCCCAGCGATGTTCAATAGCTTCGATGGCCTGTTTATAGTAAGAACCGTTGAACTCCTCAAAATAGCCATTAACCGCAGACTCCACCTCTTCATTGTTGGTAAATCTTCTACCACCGAGCCATTTTTTCAAGTTTAGAAAGAGAAAATAATCCGAGAGGGCTAAATCTAGCAAATAGGGTGCGTGGGGAATTCGAACTTTAACTCAACATCCTCTCGACGCTGCTTTTGTTCGATTGTGAGCAAGCGCGGCACCTACCTTGCGCACAGCTTTCTCATCTCCAAATTTCTCCAATCAGCTAATATGCGATGTACAGCACTTTTTGAAATGTTTACCATGTCTGCTAGCTCGTGCACTTTCAATCGACGGTCACCCAATACCATTTTGTGAATTTTCTTCACCATTTTTGGAATGGCCACCTCACTTGGCCGACCACTGCGATGTTCATCTTCGCAGCTCGTACAGCCTCGTTTAAACTCTGCCACCCAATATTTTACTGTTGTAAACGAAGGAGCAGACTCCTCCAGAGTAGAATCCAGCTCGGCTTTGATATTGGTTGGGCTAAGACCTTTCAAATGAAAGTATTGTATCACATAACAATGACCAATTTTTTCCATCTTTGCAAATTCACCGAGATCGTCCACTATTGATGGCTGCCAAACAAATACTGAACAACGTAGCGTCTTCAAACTTTATAGTTAAGCTTTAGAAAGTTGGTGCTTTCCCCTACAGTGATTTTTTGTATACAACAACCGCCATTTGTACGTCAGGTCGGGTACTTCTGGGACCACCCTCGTATATTTAATAAAAAATAAAAGGATACCTAGAAAGTATGTTTTGGGGAACGCCGAAAACATACAAATTAATTACATGTGTGTCTCAAGTATTCTCTTTGAACTTTCGTGCATTTTCACATCGAAAATAACGCAAAAAAAAACTCTAGCAGGCATATCATATCTATGGATAGTTTGTAAAGTTTGTTTTCAGCCTCAATCCGGATCTTCATAAATTAAGGAACATCATTCATTATTTTCTTATACTGTTTGCATCAGTAATATCACAAAATATAATTACGGAAAGAAGCAATTTTTTGCACACATTTCGAAAATATAAAATTCCTTATTACTAACGCTGACTCAATTAAAGTTTCTTAAAACCTTACCTTTGTTAACGGAGATATCTTGATTTGCATAGACTTCACGCCATTTAATGTAAACTGCTTTATCTTTTAAAAATGAAAACTATTTTATCGGAAGATTTTTCGTTTTCCGATAATAATTTTTATAGCTTTTTACTGCATACTTCATTTTAGTCTATGATCACAAAATACAATCACTTTATAAACAAACGTACTCGCAGTTATGATTTGCGATTATGGCTGTGTTCGCTTTGCCACTCACAACACTTTAAGTGTCGATTCATGCTTGTTTATTAATTATAAACAAGGACTCGAGGCCGACATAACTTGTTGATGATCACGTGTTTTGCCCCTCTTTTCTATATCTGTGCAATGGGTTATCACCGGACAAGCATATTCTTGTTCTTATATCATGGTTCAAGCAAGACACAGTGATGTCATTGTTAGTTGCTGCGATCGATTACAAATGCTAAGCAATAACAATGTGGACGAATTTATTCTAATGAAATAGATGAGCGAGACGACTAGAAAGAAATGTGAAATCGCTCTTTTAAAAATTAATACATTTGTATATCTTTTATATTATTTACATAATATTTTTAATTCCGTAATTGATTTGATTTAATTTAATTTTTATTTTGAGGCAGCTCAACAAACTTCATTCATGTTTTTGTGGTTTCGTTTTTCATGTTTTACATTTTTTTATTATCTCGTAAACAATTTAGAGAAAAAAATTTTCGAGAAAAGTGTGTCACAACAAAAAGTATACAGTAGCAAAATAAAAAAATGTAAAATACACATATGAGATTACTTTATGTTTAACCGTATTACTTAAAGAGATTCTAAAGCGAAGCTCGAATTCCGATAGACACCGATCAAAGGCAAAAATCGCTGTTTTTTCGACGTATCGACACGTCTTTACATACTATTACACCAATATCTCACGCAATCTATGATACACGCAGTCATACGTTCGATTTTCGTATAACAAATTCGTCGCGATAAAGCGTCTAAGTTTAATTCTAAGAACTCGACGTTTTTTGTTTGTGCAAACTACGTGTTCGTGGATTACTATTTCGTAAGTACAGGTTGCAAAACTTTCGTATCAAGCAAATGTTGTGACAACTTGACAACTTGAGACGCCATGTTACACTAAGAAATGGTAAAAAAATATATTAATTTCAAAAAAATTTTTGGTCGTTCTCGGCATAATCTTCATCTCATAAACACGTATTGATGCGTATATTTTAATCCTGGAAAAGGATTTCCGAATCTGTGAAAGAAAATAAAGTATTGTTATACAAAAATTATATGATTTAATCGGTAATACAGACGGCTTTAGGATTCCCTTAAGGGTACGTCTCCTAGCCAAACGTTAGTAGGCGCGCGCGGCACTACATGCCTCAAAACGTATGATACGGATTTTAGAGTGAATAAAAAGTCAATCAACTTAATAGGAAAGATATGACAATTGTGTTATTTGATTGAGAAGTTAAATAAGGAATACCAAAGGTAATAAAAAAAAGATCGCATTATCAATGATTTTTCAGAAAAACAAATTTTGCGGCATTCAGTGCCGCAGCGCACCTGGTTAAGGGTTAACATCATTTCGTAGTATTTTTTACTTCTTAATTTAAAACAATAGTTTATGTATGCATACCCTATTACTTTCCTGGATTTTACTATTTTTTTTTTGTAAATCTGTTGTCTAAAGTAATAAAAAATACTCTTGCATTCATAACATTTTTATCATGACCATTCATCTTTAAAGCATAATATCCTTCGAGATACTGACTGATGAACTTTTTATTTACAGCGGGAAACATGAAATCGGAAATATAAAAAAAGGGGGAAAGTTGTCGGATTTTTTTCGAAAAACGTGAAAACTATGAGTGGTCCATCTTGAACAGAGCACGCAAGCGAGAAATATCTAACTACAAATTATTGTTTTCACTGTATTACAAAACACGTTATTGTTATATTTACAGAACGGAGACGATATTGGCGGCGAATGAATCGACACCGTTGCAACTCGCGACTTGGGCACCTCGAGACAACGCCCTGATCTACGTTCACCAAAATAATATCTACTACAGACCAGAGGCAGAAGTGGCTAATGACTATCAAATAACCAACACGGGAGTGTTTGGAACTATTTACAATGGAGTACCGGATTGGGTTTACGAGGGTAAATAATGGAAATATATTTATTCTTCATTAGAATTCTTTTACAAGAATTTCCTTGTTTTTTTTATGGAGACAAATTTCTATGAGATAAATTTTTTTATGGAAAAAATGCTTAAAAATATGGTTATAATATTTATTTTCGATTCTCTCTTTGTATTAATTTTTTTTTTTTAATTAAAAGTAATGCGAATTAAATGAATGAAAGAGATGACAAGAATAAATTGGGTTAAGGATACGAGTATATCTAACAATAAGCGCGCAAATCTCGCATAAAACCAATCGTGTTGTACTTTTTGTAACCAAACTAGGATACAAAAGAGTATTTCAATTCATTGCGCTTGTACACGTATGGCAACAATTCAACGATTTACGCAATATTTTTCATTTATCCTTTGAGGGATCTGTTACTACAAAATGTACAACAACCCCCGTTCGATCGTAAAAATATTTTATTTGTTTTTTATGAAATATTCGTTTAAAGCCGACCTAGCACGTCAACAACGCGCTGGAATATAACAATGCAAGTACGATACGTTAAATAATCGACGGATATTGTTCACTTTGTAATTTCGTTTAACTGAAATACGTGAGATTACAGGACAATGCCTTACTGTATATAAATGCTGTATTGAACCGCATGCTGCTTTTCTCGTGCCAAGTAATAAGAAATTAGTTTTATGCTAATTGCTAATTAGAAATGCAAATTGATACTTTTACCCAGGAAGAAAATATTTGTTTTCTAATTCTACACACGTACCGTTTCCCTTTGTCGACGCTTTCTGTCAAGTTTAATTCACGCTGAAAAGTAATATATCACTCTCTTATTTAAAAAAAGTAACATAACTCCAAGAAAAACTTGATTTTTCTTGTTATTATCATTAATAAGTTAAGTAAATATTATTCTGTAAATTATCAAAAGTACCCAAGCTAATTTAACTTTGTTTTAAAAAAATCATAAAAATCATGACATTCAAAGAAGATGGCCTTTTTAAGAAATTGTCATTATAACTCCAAAAAGATTTTTTAAAGATTATGAAACAAAAATGATAAAAATAACATTTGACAAAATTAAGAAAATATTCCTTTCACGATATTTGATTAATCATTCAATTTTCTATCAAATTGAAAAATAGTTTTTTCTTTTTTCTGAAGAACTTAACTTTCGTTTGCAATCTGGGTTTTTTTACACAAACAAAATTTCATTCTCTTTTTCCGAAATAAAGGAAGGAATTCAATTTCCTTTCTTAAAATATCTTGCCATATCTTTATTTGGTAATGTAATAGAGATGTTGAAAAGTAACTCTAAATTTTTGCACATTTTTTGAAAGCCTAGGACATTGAAAAAAACTTAAGCTGTTAAAAAAGAGGTACAGATGAAGGAAGCAAAAATATGATTGCAGAAGAGTTAATTTTTTGTGTTGCCTTTTAAAGTAAGGTAGTGAGATACTCTAAAGAATTTTTTATGGAATTTCGTACCCGAGAAATTAAATATATCTCGTATTTTATCAGGTTGAATACAATTAAATCTATCATTTTTACTAAATTTGAATCTAAAGTGAAACCCTAGCAAATATTGCGAACTTTTAAAATATTGTATATTAATTGGATTGCAAGTTTCTATTTCGTTTGAAACGATATTATAGCGCTAGTAAAAAATGCACCATGTATTTAACGATGTAATTCGCATGACCAATGCTTCTGGGACTTGTCGTTTGCGTATCGCGAATCTTTATCAACTATGCTTTTTTTCCACCTTTGCTTTGTCCCTTTAGACGGTGCTCTTCGTTTTAACGCGCAGCGAATCAATGGATGAAGCACATAAAAATTCATCAGCATCAATCAAGAAAGTTCGCCATGAACGCAACGTGAGAGTTACGATTTCACTTCCAGTAGATTTAGTTCCTATGTCCTGAGTGACGCCTGTCACGATAAATATGTATGTCATGGTGATAATAAATTCGGTATCGATTCCACGGTGAAAATACGCAGAGAAAGAGAAGAGAGGAAAGCAAAGATAGAAATAATGGCTTTCTAATTTGTTTTAATTGTACGAAGATAGCTCCGCAGCTAATTCAATAGAAATTTTGAAGACTTATTATTTTAGTATCATTTGTGAAATACATTCATGCCTCTTCGAACGACAGTTTTGGAAACCGAAATATTATATATATTGTTAATATTAAAAAATTTTATTAATTAAATATCCCGCTTTGGAAATCACACATCGCAATAAATATAAAATCGACTTTGTTGTATGTCGTTAATAATCAGCGAGATGAACGATGATTATTAATGCTCACGATTGTTATTGCCATCGCTTTTTCGATAGGTCTGCATAAAAACGCTCGCAGCAATGAAAAATTGCGCTTCGTATCATGAAATCGGGGATAACGAGTGGAATCAATGGTACGCCTATATTTAAAGGCTAAACGCAGCAAATTGACCGGATTCATAACGCCCGTGCTATTGGCAGTTGGATCGGGGCAGCTGCCGTGGTTGAAAAGCCGGGGGCATGATTTAAAATGCAGAATCACACACGGCGCGCTTTTACATGTACATATATTCGACCGATTGCCTTGCAAGGCTAACGGTGTCGTCCTCGTCATTTTGAACGCTACAACGCTGACTGGAAATACATATCTCTCGGCGGAATCACTATATTTATTTCCTAGATTTCTATGTTATTCAATCATTGTATCAAAATGTCGAAAATTTTTTAATTAACAACATTGGATTTTCAACACGTCCTTCGACAGTCCAGCGATCCTGTTTCGAAGTTTTTTACTTTCTTTTCATTCTCTTTTATTTATTTTCTATTTTCATTACAGAGGTTTTTTAGGAAAATATAAAACATGATAAAATATTTGGAGATATACATAAATCTGAGAATATTCAAATAGCGCAGGTCGCTCAAAGTTATACAACAGATTACACGCTAAAGAATATAAGTGTAATATATTTTTTATACAGCATAGAACTTATAGGCTGCTGGAAAAGTTCTGCAAACAATATGAAAAAAACTATGTAAAATTCGGTAAATGGCTTTATTGTTTTTCGAAGTATTCGCCTTTAAGATATATTTCGATACATTTTTGCATAGGCTCGAACCAATTTTCGAAGCATTTTTTCCACTCTAAAGCTGTAACCTCAGAAATCAGTGTACGAAATGTTTCAACAGCTGCTTCAGGCGACTCAAATCGCTCACCACGCATCTTATTTTTAATGTTTGGGAACAAAAAGAAGTCATTAGGTGATAAATCAGGTGAATACGGACAATGAGTCATCAATTCGACATTATTACTGGATAAAAAATTAATAGTTTGACATGTTGTGTGACAGCTGGCGTTGTCATGATGAAGAATGATGCGACGATTTCGGTTTGTTCTACGCAATTCATTTATGACTTCTGGCAAACAAATTGTTATATACCAATCAGTATTTACAGTCCTTCGATCCTCTAAAGCCACGGTTGTCAGATGTCCGGTATAACCGAAGAAACAAGCAATCATTTGCTTGGCAGCACTGCGTGAACAACTTTTGTTGGTTTTGATTCATTTTGAAATATCCAAACAGTGGATTGTTGTTTACTTTCGGGCTCATACGAATAGATCTATGTTTCGATGTTGTAGACCAAATTTGACCGATCTCGGTTGAATTTCTCGAGCATTTCTTTGTTCCATTTAACACGAGCTGTTTTTGAGCTTCGGTCAAATTGTGTGGGATCCAACGACTGCAAAGTTTCTGTACGCTCAAGTGATCATGCAAAATCATATGTATTGCTTTCATGTCAATGCCTAATAATGCCTGAATCTCGCGGTATGTTATATGCCGGTCTCGCTCAATTATTTCACGCACAGCATCAACATTAGTGACAACAGTGGATGGACGATCTTCACGGAATTCATCACTAAGAAAGGTACATCTACGCTGGAATTCGGCAAACCAATTATAAATAGTCCTATTGGATGGTGCTTCATCCCTAAAAGCCAAATGAAGTCGATCGATGCATTGTTTCGGAGTTAGATTACATTTGTAATCGTAAAAAATCATTGCCCGAAAATTTTCACGCGAAATTTCCATTTTCTTACAAAATAACTTCTTTTAAAATACTATGCAAACAAAACTAGTTGGCTTGGGTACAAACTGTCAATTGAATTATAGGTTAAAAACATCTATTTTTACGGATATGATAGTAGTAGAACTTTGGCGCCACTGGAAGTACTAGATTGCAGAAATTTTTCCAGCAGCCTACGTATTATTGCAATGTTTCTTCAATATTACTGGAACGTTGTAATGTTGCTGCAATATTGCTGGAATAATTTGTACTCTATATGAGGAATTAACATGGATATCGTCTTTATGTCGATGTTGATTTAACAAAATGAGTTTTAAATCATGGTCTTGAATCCATACTGTACATCAATACAGTGAGAATTATATAATAAATAACTCCGTACAGCACAAAAGCTTACAGCAACATTGTTGTAACATTTTCAATCTTACTACAATATTATTAGAACTCCAATCATAATATTACTAGAACGTTGCAATGTTATTTCAATATTGCTAGAATGATCTGTGGAGATTTAATATTATGGGTTTTAAATCATTATGTTAAATCCACTCTGTTTATGGTACATCAACACAAAGAATTATATACCGCATGATGTGCTAAATCTACATATATATATATTTTTCAGAGTATATACAATAAATAAGTAGGCAAAAAAATCGAAGCTTATTCATACTTACTCTCGATATATAGCGTTTATTATAGTTTGTGTAATCGTTATATACGTGTTCGAAGTTCTCATCATTGCGATCTTTCACACAATCGATCGGCGACTAGGCTGAATAATTAAATCGCGCCGCCATCGCGCGTCATGTGATTGATCTCTCCACTCGTCCCGGCGGGTAGATGATAGAAATTGTTTACGCATCTCTGTTGTTGATTTATTGCGAAAGTTGCGAGTGAATCGCATCGTTTTGCCGGTCGATGCG